TGTGTTGTTTGAGTTCTATGGACCCCTAAAAACTATGAAACTTGGAGAATGCATAGATAGTCAAGCCATCAGCAAGAAAACTATCAAATATAGGTTTCTTGTTCCTAGGCTTAAGATGTACTAAACATACCAGCAACTTCCACTTCCCCCCAGAATAGATTCCCACAGTCAATGCACCAAATTTGCATTAGACTTGGTGATAACAAAAACTGCTTTAAGACTCAGGATGATTTATTTTAATGGTTGGTCATGCTGGTTTATATGTGGAAGTTTTCTCTACGGTAAGTCTGATGAATAAAATTTAAAGGTTTTCTCATGATTAGGGACATCAAGGTATATTTTAACTAGAAGAAGCATGCTTGTCCAAGGTTTTATTATCTCTGCACAAGGGCTTCCAGCTGAACCTGATAAATTAAAGCCACAACAGAATGGCTCTATTAAATAGCTTTCATTGTTTAAGCACATTTCATAGGAGGTTTATTCGAGGTTTAAATAGCTTCCATTACTGATTCTTGTCTCTCGGTGCCATACAGTTTTGTAAAACTAAGAAGGATAACACTAATATCTTACTCCTTCAGCTATTCCGTGAACCACTGAAAGATATAAGTTTGGTAAAGCTAAGAAGGATAACACTAATATCTTACTCCTTTAGCTCTTCGGGCTCGGTGATGGCTGAGGTTTGGGCTTCGGGTGGGATTCATTCTACAAAGAATATTGTAAAGATTATTCCTTTGACTATTTTTGGGTCATTTGAAAAGAGCGTAATTATAGAGCCTTTGAGGGTGTACGAGTAGATAGATATAAATTTAGAGATAAGTGGTTTAAATATTTTGGGTCTTATATATTGGGGCATGACATCGTAGAGATGAAAATTTTGAAGATATCATTGATATCCTTACATCTCTGTAAATTCCTGTATATACAGACGGTACCCCCTTCGGTGCCATTATAATATATTTTAACTTTTTCTTTCAAAAAAAAAAATCTGAATTTGAAACATTTTTCATATTTTCAAATAAAAATAAGTAAAGCTTTCTTTCCTTGGTTACCTAAGCAGTTCAAGGACATGATTCTATATTAATTGCTAGTGAAGGTTTTCAAACATGGAACATAAAAAAGCCAATGCCTCTCGCATTACTAACTTTTCTTCTATGAAGTTGTCAAATTACATGACTTCCTGTTCTGTCTAATAAGGATATTAATTTTTCAGATATTTTTGAAAAGATACTTCTGACAATATGTGGGACTAGTTAAAGTTTTCTTATGCTTTTGACACAAAAAGCAATGGTCAAAGAGGAATTATAAATAGAAACCTGGCTTATTTGGACCTAATTTTATTAATTGTTGATTTTGCATACAATAATTTTTGTCAATCAAACTAGAGGACACCTTCTGACGTTGTTTATGGCTATTCCCATCATACTCCTATGACTTTTATTTACTCCCTGATAAAATTTCTGAGCTTGAACCTTTTGCCAAACATATATATGGCTTCCATGTTGAGATTAAGCAAAAGATTACTTTAGTCCCATAGACTATAAACTCATTGCAAATATGCATAATAAAAGTAAAGAACTTCATGTTGGTGACTATACTCTTCCTGAAGATCTCAAAAATTTTGGGAAGAAATTAGAAAACCTAGCAATTGGCCCTTCCCCATTATTCAACCCCTTGGAACTAATGCATACTTGCTTGACCTGCCCACTCAAGTAGCTACGGATAATAATCCTTCAGATTGTAAGTAGACCAACACAGTTCCTTTTTTTTGTCTTCAAGTGTTATCATAGAAAAGTTTGCAACCGCAAGAGGACATTGAGGCTAACATAGATGAACCAATTTGTTGCTTCCACTGATGGCAGTACTCATGGCTATCTAATCAATCTTTTTTTGTGTGGATACTCAAATTTAAATACTTCTTTGATTTCTAAAGACCAATTTTGTGCTCTTCATCCTAATTTCTAGGAGTGGCATCTCCAACCTAACTCATCCAAGTCGATCTCTTTTTTGACGGAAAAGAATGAAGTAGAACCAATAAAGGGAAAATAAGATAACTAAAAGCTTATTCTAAGAGAAATAGGAATAATTAATTCTTAAGCTTTCATTCCTTTTTAATTTGTTTCCTACTATGAGTTTTATGAATAATTAGTTTATTTTGCCTTCTAATTGTTTGTTATGTTCAAACTTACACCTACTGCAGTTGTGTTTGGTTCCTCTTCAAATGGTACCCCAGCATGAGTTAAAACTAATTGCTACAATTATTACTCAATAAAAAAAAAAAAGAATTAATTTAATATTAAGGTCTGAGATCTTTGGTTTTGTTTCTTGCTAATCTTTTTTCAAATTTTCTTTCAACCTCTCCATGTCCTCATAATATATTAGATGACAAAATCAAACTCATAAATAATGCTGTTTTCTGAATAAATAGATAAAACATGAAAGGTATCCCACCTTAACCCTAATCTTAGAATCATAATGCAGATGGATTGAGTACCCTCTTTCAAATAACAAACTTATGCTAGTGAATCTAGAGGCAAAAGTCATAAATATATTAATTAAAGCTGCTCGCTTTTAGCGCAATGCACTTCTACTTTTAAAAGTCAAGTTGGTTGGTAGTCTACTTGAGGAGCTCAAATGTTGGCCAAAGTTGGTTGAATAAGATGTAAAAATTAGATGTTCAAGCCAGGGTGGTGAATAATTTTAATATGCCTCTGGCACAGAAATATCCTAAATTTCTTGAAGAAAGTGAACACTTCTTTGTTACGCCACTGATGTATACCTGATATGCTACTGAGAAACCACCTAAGGCTTAAACAATTTCTTGTAAATCTCTATTTTCCAATATGAGGAAGCTCTATCAGGACTACAATCCTTGGCAAACACGAACCTTAACTGGATCTAAAAAGTTGGTAGTTTTATATATCACCACGGAGCATCCCATCAGTCTGGAATTAGTCCAGATATAAGTCTTCCGCATGTATGGTTCTTATCAAGCAGAAGTCACAAGAATTCAAGTCTGTGCATTTCATATCATTATGCTAACAAAGATGTCATAAAGAAGCAAACATAAAAATGGCACCTGACACTGCACATCAATCCCACTTTTCTTGTATTCAACATACAGACTCCTCGAAAATTGATCGATATACCTGTAAATCAACAACATGAAACCCCTTTGGCACTAGAAATAACAAAATTAAACACTCTTGAAAAACTTGGGAGAAGGGTATTAGTAGAATGCTAGTGAAAACCAAGAAGGAAAATCATTCCAATAAATCAGAGTTCAATTGGCAAGTGGAAAAGGAAGTGCTTACGCTTTCGTGGCAGCATAAACGGCGTAAAGAGGATCAGAAGGAATAACAATAGCAGCACCAGAGCCAATATTCACAATTGCACCTTTCTTCCTCTGTAGCATCCCTGGCAAAACAGCCTGAGTAACCTTGGTGGTTCCCTCGACATTAACCTTGATCAAATTCCTCAACAAACTCTTGATCAACTTCATGGAAAAACCTCGCGTAAGGATATGAGACACCAACGTTATTGATCAAAACACCAACATCCAATTCCTCAATAGCCTCGCGAATCCTTGTAACACCCTCATCGAGATCTCCAGAGAAGTCAACAACTACAGTATTGATCTGGGTTTTGGGGTATTTGGCTAGAATTGAATCAGAAACATCCTTCAGTTTAGTCGGACTGCGACCAACCAATACGAGATTAAGCCCTTTCCTAGCCAACTGAAAAGCAAAAGCTTTGCCTATCCCATCAGTGGGTCCTGTGACCAAAGCCCACGAGCCGTACTTCTTCAGATTCTTGGCGGGTCTAAGGAAAGTAACATAAACCCATTTAAGAATAGATAAAGAACATTTGAGAAGAGAAAGAGAACCCAAAATGAAGAGTGCGGTAAGCCAGATAGGCTGAGACTTGAGGGTCTCCAAGACACAGAACTCCATAGTAGCAGGGAACGCGGATTATATGGATCTGAGCTGGTAAAGAAGGAGATCTAAGAAGTGGGTATTATTTGGAGGGTATAAATAGAGCAAGAAGCAACGTGGAAGCTTGGTTGCCTGATGGAGTTTGGTTAAGGCAAGTGCATACAGGTATATAAAGTTGGGAGGTGATTTGAATGAGAAGAGGCGGATTTGTCGAGGAAACAGAAGAGGGTTGCTTAATGGACAGGTATTACAGGGACGGATGAGCATTGAATGTGAAGATAGCAGAGAAAAATTGGCTTCTTTTGGGAGGCGGGTGAAGTAGATGAGCTGAAAACCAACGTTACTCAAACTGCTGAACACAGAAAAATTTGAGGGCCTAATTTTTGACCCGGATCCTTCTAAACTGACCCGTCCGAAGTCAACCCAACAACAGTTTTTTTAATTTTCAGAATCCGCCTGATCGAATTTGATACATTTATATTTAAAATATATAAATATATAATATTATAATTAAACATATAAACATATGTGTAGACATAAATAAATATAAATGTGATTATATTTGTAATGCCCGGAAAATATAAAAAAAAAAAAATTGATTATATTATTTTAAATATAAAGAAAAAAACAAATGCCATGTTAGCAGACCCAGTCAGCAGTCTTGGCCAACCAGGACCTGCCACGTGGCAAAACCACGTCGACCGGAGACGGGCCACGTTGGCGATCCGCGTACGCGAGATCGGACGGCCCAGATCTAGCGTGCATACGGACGGCCCAGATGCAATCGCACGGACGACCCAGATTCAATCAAAAACGGACGGCTCAGATTAAAACAAAATGGACGGTTGAGATCAAAAGGCAAAAGGGTATAAATAGAACCCCCACACCTGACCACAAAAACCCTAGCCGCCTGCCCTCGCCGGAGAAGACGCACCAGATGCCGGAGACGCCCGCCGCCGCCACCCGCCGCCGCACCGAGGAGATTTCCGATCGCTGATTGAGGTAAATTTCATACCCCCGACTCGTTTTTCCATGTTGATTTCCCCTGTGGCCAAATCGGAGCCAAGTCCCGGCCAAACGGCCGAAATCCAGCGACGCCGCCGTACCCCTCCTCGGTTTGTGCCTCCGATGAGGCCCTTCCCGGCCTCCGTTTGATGCAATTTTTATATCACCGTGATCACCATTCTTTTCTCTACAAGTTGATCGGAGCCGAATCACCAAAACACGAACCTCACCGAAGAGCCGCCGCACCCGAGAGCACCGCCGCCGGTAAGCTTCGATTTTCTGTAATTTTTTGGCCCCCCGAGGGCCCTAGGGTTGTTTTATTGCAAGGATCGATGCAAGTGTGGCCGAATTCGGCCAGAAACGGCCGAAAACGGCCAAACTGAGGCTGATCACCGCCGCTTGCGGCGGCGCCGTCGCCGGAGCACGGCGGAGCCGCCGTGCCGGAATTGCGATATTGGCCAAAAAGGGGCCCTGGGCCTAATTTGGGATTTTTTGGAACATGTGCAGGTACCAGTAGTGCGTTTCAGTTCCCCGGGAAAAATTCAGGAAAAATTAGGGACAGCCTGTAGGAGCACTGTGGAGCCGTGTTCGGACCCCGAAACGAGTAAGGACCCCTCACCCTATTTTCTATCACGGTATTAAAGTTCAATAATGATAAAACGGTATTTCTTGAATCAACAAATGTGTGAAATTGCTTAAGGTCGCTAATGGAGCCCGAGTCTAGTTTGTTTGTCGGTTAACTGTTATTTGGCTTATTTTACAGTTTTAAATGCAGTATGAGGTTTGATGTTTTCATTTCATAGTTTCGTGTGCATATTTTACTGTTTTATTGATTATGGGTTGAATGACTGAGAAACCGATGTTGTATGTTGTCTTGTTTGGCATAAATTACTGTTTTGCTTGTTTGTATTGTGAATTGATGATGCTGACTGAGGAAAAGGAGAATGAAAGATTATGTAGATTGATAATTGTATAATGTGGTCAGCCTGACTAGATATCCTAGGAGATGGTGGACGGACCGGGTCCGTAGGGAACCCTACCGGGATTGTGGTCTCCCATACCGGACGGGGTATGGAGATCTTATGTGTTTTGGCGCCCATACCGGACGGGGTATGAGGACGGTCCGTTTCACCCTCATACCGAACGGGGTAATGAGGTTTATAGTTTTGGCGCCCATACCGGACGGGAGGACGACCCTCGAATCTGATTTCAAGTGTTAAGGGTTAACGGGTTGCTGGACCCCTATGGATCCCCATGGATACTAATGGGCTGGTAAATGAGGAAAATATGTTGTGTAACGATTGAATTACAAAAAGGCTTGATAAGTATTATGTTATACAGTTTATATATGATTTCATGATGATGATAATGTTATTACTTTCATATGTTGTTTTATGAATTTCACCGAGGTAAGTGGATGGTGAAGGATTTATTATTGATAAAAGAATTTGTTGTAAATTATGCTCCATTGGTCTTTTTGTGTTTTCTACCCACCTTTACCTTCGTGACGGTGAGATATCGTGATGTCTTTACTGGGCTAGTGTAGCTCATTCCTTATTTAATCATTTCAGATCAGGAAGACATTGTTCCCGAGTCGGTTCCGCAGGAGGACGACGAAGGGGACGCCTAAAGACTCCATAGTTATATTCGTAGCTTTTACTTTCAAGTTTCTCCTTTAGATAGTTGATCTTTTATATTTTGTAAGCACGTTTTTGGTTTTAGTGTAAGGGATGTTAATCGAATTTTTGACTTCGCTTCCGCATTTGATATTTTTAATATACATTTCATTTTAAATATTCTGGGGCTGTTACAATATTGGTGTTAATTTAATATCGGCTTGGGTGCAGATCGGGTGATTTACAAACCCAATATGATTTGAAAAATTAAAAAAAAAAAAATTAACAAAAAACTTATTAGATTTACAAAAAGTGTAATTAATGATGATAATACATTAGCTTTATTAAAAAGACTCTTAATTGTCCTTTTTTTTATAATAATTGATTTAGATATTGCATATAGATTTAATATAGTCAGTTCATAATATTTAATTTAATGAAATTAAAATTTTAATTTAATTTATTAATTTATTATTAGAGTTAAGGCAACCATGTTAAAATAATTTTTATAAATTTATTACGTTTTTAAATAAAAAAATTTATAATTAATTTTTTAATAAAAATAAATATTTAATTAAAATAAAAAATAATAATAGCATTTTTTTTTTAAATTTCACTAGCAATAAACTAACACCATTTAATTTTTTATGTGTCAGATTTTTTTACCACATAATACTAAAATATTATCTTTTTAACGTAACATTTATACTTATTTCGTATTAAATTAAATAAATACTATATAATAATGATAGGTAGAAAAAGTAATGCTAAAATATAAGCTAATATATTGAATATGATTAAACAAATTAATCAAAATAAAAAGACAATCACAAGATATAAAATAATAAGATGTAATAATTTGCAATAGTAACATAATACAATAAAATGTACGAGAATACGAATTGAAATCACAAGAAAATTAACATAATTAGTAAAATTTAAAAGATAATAATTTATTTTAAAATTATTTACATATTAATTAATAACATTGCTCTTTGTATTAAATTCATCTCTCACTTTGTAAGTTGTATTAAACTTATACATTAAACAAAAGAAAATCTAACTTTGACAAACTCCTTTTTCTTTAAAGGGTGTATTTGTAGTAACTGAAAAAAAAAAAAAGTGGAGGAAATGATGCCGTTTTGAAGAGGAAAAAACGATGTCGTTTTGAGGAAGCTGGTGGGATATAAATAGGGATTAGGAAAGGAAAGAAAACGAAAGAGAGGAAAAAAAAAAGAAAAGAGAAAAACAGAGAAGGAAGAGAGCGGGAAGGAGAAAATAAGAAGAGGAAAGAAGGTTGCAGAAAGAGAGAGAGGGGAGTCGGAGCAGAGAGGAGCGAGAAGGGAGAGAGAAGAAGACCGCGGACGGTGACGGTGTGATCGG